GAGGGGGGGTTGTATTGCTCTCATCAAGGACTTGCTGATGCTGAAGAAAAGTTATGAAGCTTCAAGACGTGATTTGCGAATATTAATGAGAACAAAGCTCATGCGCCAATGCCATTTCTTTGATTTTGGTCTGCTTTGAACATAGGAAAGAATTATTTATATGAATTTTAAAAGTACAAGTCTACGGCTTTGAACTGTTTGGGTTTATTGAATGGAGGAAATTGTTGTGTTACGGGTCTGGAGTATTACGGAAGACTACCTGTCCCGTGCCCACCATCTTCACCCATGGCCTGGTGTAGAGTCTGTTTGTTGGTAAGTGTTTTACGGCGCTCACAACCGCATAAGGTCATGTGAGCGCGCAGGACACATTAAACATTTTCAGTTGGTAGGAAATTTTGAATTTTGCACGGGTGGCAGCCGAAGCCTACTCTTATAAATTTTAGGGCAAAGAAGGTGAGGGGGTGGGGACAGAAAGTGGAGACAAAAGCAGACGACAGAACATTGTTAGAGAGCAGGAAAGGATATGGAAGGAGAAAATTTTGGAGAGGAAAATTTTCCGTTGTTATCCGGTTTCGAACCCGGGACCTATTGAATGAGAGGTGAACACCTTAAGCTCTTGACCACGAGAGCCCCCGGGTGGAGTCTGTTGTTTGGTTTTGACAAATTGGCAACTATGTGAAATGCCCCGTAGTCACACACTCCACTCACCCGTCCGTCCATCCGTCTGCCCGCCACAGATCGGGAAACCCCACAGAGCAGTGCTACTGACTGAAGTTGTCTTTAGGCCATTCCCAAAGGGGGGATATTAACCATGTTCTTATGCACAGTAGAATTGTAAATGGGCTGATTCATCGATGTCGTGCTCATAACTGTGCCGGAACTGCAACAGGGAATTGCTGCTTTTTCTTTCCTAATCCTTACTATCGTCATTTTTCCTCTACTTATTTTGTATGTTTGTCACACTCTTGTGACCCACAAATTTCCGGGGTACCTTGACTTTGTGCTGTTGAAGCTAGAGAGGTGAGCAGAGTAAGTCTGATTCCCCGTTTGGACTTCTCTGTTGACATCCACCCCTTGGCGCTCATATGACCTTATGCAGTTGCGAGCGCCGTGAAACCTCTACTAAAACTTTTTTTTAAACAGATCGGGGCAGAACCAGTGCATGGCCAACCTGGCACATGTCCAGATACCAACATTTTGTTCACTTTGATAAAGTACAGGGATATATTCCACTGTGACTTTTCAGTTTAACTATTGTTTCGTGTACTTAAAAAAATTCTGGGGGATTTCAGGCCCCCCCCCCCCC